AACCGTAAGTCTCCAATGAGGCTGGTGTTGGCAGTGATCCGCTACCAGGCGACCCCCATGCCAGGGCTCCCAAGTGAGGAGACGTACTGCCACTGCTGGTGCCGTTGGCGGGAGGCTCCAGAGGTTGAGGTGGTCCATACGCTGGCGGATGGGATGTGACAGGTCGCTGTTGCGGCGCACTCGTATATTGCTGGAGGGAATGGCTCGTTAAAGGTGGTGTCGAGCGGGGCAAGTTTGGCCCAAAGTCGGTCCGCATATGAGGGGGTAGGGAATGAGTTTGGGGCAAGAATCCATAGTCTGAACCTTGACGTTGCATGCCACTGGTCATAGGCGGAAGCTCTGAATGCGGTGAAATCGACAAGATTCTATTTGCGGGCGATGCTGTGGAATTTCTCGAGGAGCCTCCTGAAGTCGACTCGTAGGTGGACTGGCTCCGAGGATGCGATAGTGCTAACTTCGCATTCACCTCCGCGGCAGCTTGCTCCAGTGTGCCCGTATGTTGGGATTGGTGCTTCGTCAGGGTGGTACGTCTTGTGAAGGTCTTCTGGCAATTGGCAAATGCACACTGGTATGGGCGGGCTCCCGCGTGCATACGCCGGTGCCGTGCAAGGGAGCTGGAGTCTGAGAAGGGCTTACGTGCCGAATTAGTCTCTGAGGGTGACTTGGTTGGTATTCAAAACTCACCTTGCTACAATGAACACACAAGTGCGGTTTCTCTCCTGTGTGAACCCTCACATGCACAGTCAAAGCAGATCGTTGTATGAATGACTTGTTGCAGCCTGGGTGTTTGCAAGCGTGAGGTCTGTCACCGCTATGAATCCGTTCTGGTGGGAAGGTTAGCGCGTTAGCCATGCCCATGCAGATGTGGAGGTCTCTCACCGTGTCTGGCAAGATCACTGCGTCGTGCAAACCGTTTCGAGCAGGTCCCGCAAGGAAACAGTTTGGGAGCTGGCTCGCTCTTGATTTGGGTAGGCGGCAAGTTTTCGTCCGAGATGGTGCTCTGGCTGTCGTGCCTTGGCATGTAACTGCTCGCTGCGTATATCTGAGGGCTATTCTGAGGCGGCGCCATAAGACTGTACGGCGTCACATGAGACTGTGGGAGGGATGGCTGGTGGTGAGCCATATCCGAGCCTTGGTCCATGCTGTACGCTGCACCGTCCAGGTGAAGTGATTGCCGAAACCGGGCGAGCTCTTCGCCGCCCTCAGAACGCTTCCTCGAATTGAGGAGCGTCGAAACGTCCATCCCTCCCTTGACTGGAAGAGGTGGCGATGGTGCCAGAGCCCGCTGATAGACACCCAGACCCCGAGGATTTGGGAGGCGCTGGAAATTGAACCCGAGGTGTAATGACTGCATGATTTTACCTGTTAGCAGAGGAATACGTAGACGAAGCAGGAATGGAAGATGGGAATCGAGGCATTGAAGAACACCTTGGCCTTCAAAGGATCAGTGCTGGGACGAAGAGGGTCAAGGCGCCGTGGAACGCAGACGCTCATGCCTTTGCCCTTCCTGGTCCGGCGGCTGGAATGGTCGAGGGCCTCAATGCACAGTCCCTTGTCCTCACGAGACCACCACCAAGTGTACGGGGCGTTATGGTATCTCACCTAAGGCAGTAGAAGACAGTCGACCAGATGCTGAAAAGAAAGCACCAAAGAAGGGAAACGACTGAAAGGTGGCAGACGTGTAGCTCCTCGAAGTCCCCCTACACCTAACAGGAATGCCAGCAAAACAAGGGGAGCAGCAATGCTGGTATTCCCTTGGCAACCACCTAATTCTTCTCCGAGACAAGTTCTTCGTCGACACCAATAACTCGGATTTCTGTCCCTGTGACGCAAATCTGGCTGGTCTCTGGTGTGGATTGGGCGGCAATGTTCCAGGTCTCGGTCAATTGGTGTTGGCGTGGGCAGATGTCGGAGATATGCTTGTAACGCAAGACTGAAGAGGCCGTTGTCAAGAGGGGGTTCTTGGAGTTCTGGAACTCGAGCTTCCCGCACCAGGCGGTATTTGAGAATGAATGAGGTATGTTTGTGTATAATGATAAATTCCAATGCCAACGGAATCGATCCTCTAGAACCGGGGGGTCGGTCCGAAGGTACAGAGCCAGAAGGTCAAGACTGCATTCGATTGTCCTTGTAGGGAGCATTGGAGCGGCGGATGCTGGGGGCGGAAGTTGAGGAGCCGCGAGGTGAAGGGACAGCGATTGTTCTTCTGAATCTAGACTGCACGGAAGAGGAAGAGGTCGAAGCGGCGATTGAAGGGAGTGACAGCGATGGGATTGGCAGTTGAGGACAGGAGGAGCCGTGCATCGAGCGCGGTCTCGCTGGGAGAACTGGCAGCAGTAGTGGCAGCAGCAGCAGCAATAGTAACGACAATGTGGAATCGATAGCATAGACGGCGGGAGTACGAGGAGGGCACAGACAAAAATGGTCAGGCACGGATCGTCTGAGAAAGGGTCACAAGGGTGTAGGGACGAACGCTTGTTTCTTTATGTCTCGAGGGACACTGCCAGAGCCAGCTGGAGTCGCAGAGACAAGGAAAAAGGCAATTCAAGAATTCAAACACATCATGACTCTTTAGAAGGGTGTTTGAAGCCACTGTAGTCGTCGTTAGGGACAGTGGTCTGCCAAAAAGTTTGAGGCGTTTGTTGGAGGTGGAACTGAGGGATTGGGATTTGGGGGAGAGGAGAGAGAGGGGCCACCTTAATTGCCCAGGCTGCCTTAAATGACTGGCTCGACAGCACCTGGTGACACCAGCTTTTTTCAACTGCCTCAACTGCCTACCCACCTACCTTAGGTGACCCAGGTGCCTAACTAATTACACATGTATTAATGAACTTGGGGTCTGCCAATGCGAAACGGCGTCGGGTTCCTCGGGCCCTTGCCACGCTTGCTTAGACAAGCTGCAGGGGTGCGCTGCAGGTTCGCAGCCAGCAGCCAAGCGGAGCTTTCTCTGTCTCTGGGTGTCTCCATCCCCGGCCCCAATTCCCTGATGGATCCCCTTTGTTCTACCTCCTCCACCTCCTCGTATCAACCTGGTATTCCAATTCCTTCTAGTTCTCCCCCTTCTCACACTTTGCGTTCCTACTAAGTTAGGCTCTGGCAAATGAGGTGTGCAAGGGTATACGGGTACCGACACTGACATGGACGACGCTCTCCACCAAAACCCAGTCCCTGCATGGCGTTCGAACTCTATGGCCCGTTTCCCTCACCTCATACCTCCTCCGTGTACCTCATACAACTACGGTTCCATGATGATGAGACTGCATAACCCTTCAACTTGCTCATCTGGGGGCATAAACCCATGCGCACATGTGTCTCGCTTGTTGCTGCTGGCATGGCATGGCATGGGCCCAACTCGACCAAGGTAATCACCTCTTTGGGATCTTATGCGATTGATAACACTCAGAGAGATCGACCGTCATCTACCGAGATCACGAAATGACCCCTCCTCCTGTACGAGTAGCTCCTCATCCTTCCTCCTCGTCGACTTGCCGGCTTGTAAGCGAATACAAGCTTGTCAGCATTGACAGCATGGTCTGAGAGAGAGGAAGATTAAGACAGCCTTCGCGGCCCAGCAATTGCCTGGATTAGCGGGTTTTCGGTACCTGTCAAAAGTTCTTGGTTCGCTGGAGTTTGGCAGTGCGATGTCCTTGACTTCGGCTTTGTCTGATTCAACACGTCTCTCGTTCATTAACCCATGCCAGAACAACCACGAAGTACCAACTCCCCCCAAAATCCAACCTGTTTCCTCCAATCAAAACAAGACCGGCAAGTTCCTCCTCCCCGGAAAGGGTTAGACCAAAGCATGGGTTTCCGATCCTCTTTGTCTGATCAGAGGAGACTCCCGGCGGCGATCTCTTATGCTGCTTCTGCAAGAAATCCTTGACCAGGCACGAGTATGAGGTATTCGGTATGCACGTTCCAAATCCCATGTCTCGGCGTCATTGCTCGTGGAGCTCACCTATAGAGGATGAGCCACGCGTGCATCACTCAGCAGGAAGGAAGCTTGAAACGATGCACATGCGCATCCTGTGGAGCGACGCACTCACCAACGGTTCCGCACCAGTCTCTCGCACCAACCACTACTGGGGAGCTGATGAGCACAAAGACCAAGAGACCAGATCCCCAGGTATGTGTGTGATGTATGTTAGAGGCCTGAATTGGATCGTCGTCATCAACCAACATCCAAAAACCGAATATGTCACCACTACTTGAGCATGTTTTTCGTATACAGCTTCTGGAGAAGAAACAAAGAAAAAGGTTGGAAAAAGTCGATTGAGAATAGTTCCGCCCTCCGCCCCCGATACCCCGTTTCCGACATATTTATCCCATCATCATTTGAAATTCTTCATATGCTTGATTCCTGATTCCATTTTGTCTTTCTTCTTGGCTGCTGCTCAAAGCCCGGCGCTCATCGGGTGCCAGGCACATCTCTGAAGCAAAAAAACATCAAAGGGCTTTCAGCTGGACAGGGACAGATGGAGACAACAAAGAGAACTTTCGTCGGGAAGGCGTTTTTTTCCTTTTGTTTTTGGTTTGGTCTTCTTCTTTGTACACAGGACACCGATATCCTCAATCATATACCCTTGTATCATAATAACAGATATCCCAAGAAGATGGAACTCGCATGAGCGTCTTTGCAGTCCATAGTCACGTACATTTCCCCTCGACGGCATCGGAGCTGAATGCGAAATCCCCTGTTCGTTTCCCCTTCATTCCTTTTCATTCGTTTCAACCTCCGCCAACCAAATGCGCTTCAAAATCCCGTGTTCCTTTTCGCGAGAGCACTCCAAAAGTAAAAAAGACGCTCCTTATTCCCCTTGGACGTCGTTTGGAGGAAGGGGGAAGAAAAACTCCCATGTAAACACTCGGCTGGAGTTTCTCAACGTCTGTACTTCTGGATCCTGGGGCGACGTGGTGCTCGTAACAATCGCCCTCAGCCAAGAGAGGGTTTGTCGCCTCATCTCCTCCTTGTCGGACACATTGCCATACCTCATCCCTCCCTACCTCTTAAACATGGCCTGCACATCCTCTTTTCTCCAGTCAATCTCTAGACTGCCCTCGTAGACTCTGTCCACGATTGTCTTCATCCGGTCGTGGGCGTGAGAGTATCGTACTGCACATTCTTCAAACACCCGCGCGATCAGATCCTTCTTTCCAGCCCTCTCGAGGGTTGTCGACGATGGATCGTCCGCATCAGTGAAGTGCTTTTCGATCCTCTTCTTCAATGTCTCCACGCCCTTTCGGACCTCTTTCGCGTCATAGCTGCCGAGAATCTTCTTGGCTGCGCTGCGTGAGTGGGATGGCTTGTTCGCAATCGACGTAAAGGACGAGTCGGTGCCCTTCATGAGCGCTTCGGTGCTCTCCAAGAAGTCAAGCCATTTGCCCAGTGGCCGTCGGATCACAGCATCTGTGTACTGTGCGAGATGGGATAGTTGATCGCGCGACGCCCGTTCCACCCATTCTTCGAGCACCGCATTGTTGTGTGTCTTCACTTCCTCAACAAAGAAGTTCATGTTCTCGATCAAGAGAATATGATAGTTCAATGCCTCTTTGTCTTCGGGGTCCCCGCTCAGTGGTACGTTCGAAGGGCCAGTCGTTGTCCCACCAGAAGAGTTTGCGGCCGGATTGTCTTTGGCGATGAAGTTGAGAGACTCCCACATGGCTTTCAGAAGTTTGGTGTACGCGTCGTTGACGATGAAGCGCACTTCAAGGGACTCGTGATGTGCAAATTCCTGAGGAATCATGTCCTCAACGACGGCAATAAAGTCGGGGAAGATCCTCATGAAAGAAATCAGACCTTTCCTCTTCTTGACCTTCACCTTGGTTTCCTCAATCGCCTTGACTTGTTCTTCCACAAATCTATTGAAGAGACCCATCAAGCGTTCATGAAGGGTTCTCACTGTCCGCGTGATGAATTCTTGGTTCGTTTCCTCATACTTTGACAAGCACTGTTCGAGTGAGACCAGGACGCCAATGCCCTGCAATTGATCCATCTTGAACACCCATTCCATCAAACCCTGAAGGTCTGTAGGCCAGAACGAGTAAATCCCTTCTGTAGTGCGCTGTACGATCTTGGCCAAATTACGATCTGGATCGTAAGCTTGTTTGGCCTGCAAGTTGGGCAGCTTGCGCTGTTCAGGAGGTCGAGATTGCACTAGTTCCATAAAATCCTCGTTCGACTGTGAGTTCAGATGGAAGAAATGTACAATGAAATTCTGCTCTTCCGAAATGGCTGTGGCTTGTTGCTCTAGGACAGTGTCGAATACCGCCCAAGCATCGGGTTTGCCGTCTCGTCTTTCGCCAACCGAATGTCTCATAACGCTTGCCTTGACTGCTCTGCCACGTTTAACCGTGAGCTTGCGAGCTGCCGTGGAAAGATTGGACTCCTCTGCCTTCTCTTTCTCTTGATGGGTGAAAAGGATTTCCTGCTCTTCTCCCATGGGGTGCCTGACAGTCTTTCTCAGACCCATGCTGAAGTCTCGGAACTGGTCTTGGTAGATGCTCTTGACATTGATTTCGTAGCTGCCAATTAAAGTCTGCCATTCATACTGGTTGACTTCCCGCACAAAGAGCATCATAGCATTGTAGACCCAAAGCTCTTGTCGCGAAGCGTTGAGAGCCCGTAGGTTGAGCGTGAAGGAGGATGTCCCGGAAGAAATGCTGATGCTGGCATTTTCCTCACTTGTTCGCTGCTCAGCCAGTTGGAACATGGCCTTCATGTGCTGGTTGAAGCGGTTGACAAACATCATGCTCTCATCCTTGTATTCCTCCTTCTTCTCACGCACCGCTCGCATCTTGGTGAGGTCCGCTTCGGCATTCGTTGGAAGTCCAGTGCGGTTGCTTACTGTGGTTGCTTGACGGAGTTTGTTTTGACGCAGGTCTGGATCGATTGTCAGCATCGCTCTGTAGAGCAAACTCAGTGCACGCTCGACTGCGTGGACGCCTTCGAAATTGTCGATCGGCGCTTGCCTTAGAGCGCGAAGATCTGAGGGTGATATTGTCAATGTTCTCAGGAGATTTTGCAACTCAGCCTGCAGCAACTTCTGATTGGCAGTCTGCACTTGCAACCCCTGTCCTTGTGCCTCGATATACTCGATATCTTCATGGAGAGTATCGAGCTCATGGGCATACAAGGTCAATAACCCGTCAAGCTCTTCACATTCGGCAATCGCCTTTTCGAACGCTTTTCCGAGCTCCTGAACTTTGGTCTCCTGGTGTTCGACATGGCCGAGCCAGCCACTCGCTTGAGCACGGCCAATTTCCCTTCGAATGTCGGTCTCGAAGTTGTCCAAAGCATGGTCTTTGGCAAGTCGCCCATCCCAAGAAAATTCTGTCAAGATTTCGTTCAGATCTGCTCCGCGGCCCTCAGTGACCCGTGGATCAATGCCTAAAGCTGTACAGTGCTTCTCAACTTCCGCCTCCAGTCTTTGGCGACGTTTCCTTTGTGGCGAAGAGGACCGGCCCTTATCCGGGGACTCCGCACTCGGTTCTTCCTTTGGAACCTCAGGCTCGGCCGGGAGAGGCTTTTCTGCTGGCGTTTGCGGTCTGGCGACGCTGTCTGAGGTAGCAGAACGCTCGACCTGAACTCGAGGAAGAGGCTCACTAGACACAACCTTCGGTGTCGGCTGATCCTTTTCATTTTCAGTGTTGATCGGATCAGGTGTTCCGCTCCTTGGGCCATCCGAGCTCATGCCTCTCTTCAAAGGCGCCGGGACAACACTGGTTATGCCATCGGGCTCGTTGGAGAGTTTGTCCTGCATTGCCTTCAATCGTGCACCTGCACCGCCTTGACGTGGTTGAAATGCACCTGCGGCAAGGGCAGCTTTTCGGAATTGGTTCGCGATGTCCTTACCAGACCTCTTCTTGATCATAGGACCAAGGCCGGGGCGATGCTCTTCTTCAGCTTTTGGAGGGGCTGGAGGCTCGAGTGGCTCTGGAACAACGGGCTCGTTTGGGGTTTCGACAGGTTTGGGCTCTGACGTAGTTACTTCTGTGTACACAGTCTTTGGTGGCACGACGTCGTTTGCTTGTGACTGCTTGTTCTCTGTCATGGCCTTCTCGCCCACAAAATAGTCCGTTTTCTTCTGTGACTGCTCCTCTTTCATCGTGGACGGCGTCCCCGCCGGTGTTACAAATGCGCTGTTACTCTGACTCGTGGGAGCTGGTTGTTCGGGTTTGAGGTCGGGCGCAGCTGCCGCTGGCTTCTTACGCTCAGGGAAGAGCTCAAAGTCAAGTGCTGGAAGACTGGGAGGAGGTTCGGGCACAGGGACCCTGCGATCGCTCGCTGCCGTGCTCGGCCTTGAGTTGTTCAATGGTTCGCCACGAGGAATATCCCTGTTTAAGTCCTGACCCGGCATGGGACCCATCCTTTTCGGCGAAAAATCTTGCGGACCAGCCTTTGCGACGCTCAATCCGTTCGGTCTTAGAGGTGGCGGCTCGAGGGTAGGATCGGGTCGCTGTAGGGAGGATTGAGAGGCTTTGGGACTAATGGAAGGTCGTAACGGAGCTGGTTGGAGGCCGTCCGACAGCGACGGCGTACGGGCGTCATCACGCCTTAGCGGAGGGCCATAAGGTTGTGTGCGAGAGAAGTCCTGTGCCGGTGTACCGCGGTTCGGTCTAGGGGGTAAGCCCAGAGGTCGTTCTTCTGCCTGAGAAGGTAGCGGCACGGCATCTCTTGTCGGTGGACGGTAGTCTGGTCGGCCAAATGACCTATTTTGTTCTTGCACCTCCATCCGACCACCATCTCGACTCGGAGGCGGCTGAGCGACATATGGAGACTGTGGCCGGGCGGCGCTGAGTGGTGGTACGGGAGCAGGTTGGCTCGCAGCCAGGGGGGGTGGAGGAGTTGGGGATGGGATGATCGGGGAGAAAGTGGTCCTCGAAGGGGGAGTATTCTGGGCGGACTGGACACCAGTGATTTGTTGTAGTTCCTGGGGGGCAAATCCTATAAGCTCTGGAAGCTTTCCTCCCGTGTACTTTCGGTATATCTTGATCAGACTGGCAATGAAGAAATCCTTCTCTTTTGGTGTGGGGGCGGACCAAAAATAGGGCTTGCCTAGAGACACGGTGAAGCCGGTATTGGACGCCCACTGTTTCTCCATCTGCTGCTGGGGGTTCGCGGGGACGAGAGAGGTGTAGGAGATGATTGCGGTCAACTCGTCGAGATTCCATGTCTTGCCGATGGAGAAGGAGCCGTTTGGGTTCTCGCGAGCCTTGTGAACCCTGACCTTGCCGGAGCGTCGGACGGCGACAAGGATGACTCGGTGTTTCTTGTTGGAGTTGGGGGAGTCCGGAGGAGGAGGAGAGGAAGGGTAGGAGGCATCTTCAAGCACTCGGACGTGGGTGATATATGACTCGAGTTGCATGCCCTCGGGATCACGCTTGCTGAAGCAGGCGTCGATAATGCGCCGCTTCTCGTCTTCGAATCGCGCGGCGCGAGACTGATTGGTGTCTTGCTGGTCGGGTTGCTGCCTCGTGTGAGGTCTCGGCTGAGAGAAGTTGTGGTCGCCATTCGAAATGGGCGCAGGCTGTCGAGGCCCAGAGTAGAGAGGTTGCGGTTGTTGCTGATTCATGGTTGGGAGAGTCCAAGGTTACCAACCTCATCTTCCAGAGAGAGAGGCGGAGAATGGTGTGAATGAGGGAGACAAATCACTCATAGCTGCCCAAATATACCCAGATGAGACGACATGGCCTTGCCCCAAGGTTTTTCGTGGTGTGGGATTTCAACTCCAACCGAACTTGTAGAACCCTTCATGCCAGACAAATCGAGACGTGTACCAGAAGGAGAGAAGTGATACAAGTGCGCATGGCATTGGCGAGCACGGAAAGCCGCCAGCCGCCAGCCGACAAGCCCCCAGCTGGTGCCAGCGGTGCCAGCGGTGCCAGTGGTCCGCCGTGGGCCCAAGCCTAAAACGAGGTTGGGCGGCCAAGCCCCGACCCCCCCAGTAGCCGTTATCCTCCAAGTACAGTTAGACTCGGTGCCGTCCGCAGGCTCCTCCTGACCCTGAACCTCTACCACCTGTTGGACGTAGAGGTAGACGACCTTATAGCCTTGTCCCTAGCATTACTCTACAGACCAAGAAGAGAACCCTTTATATCGGAGGGCAGCAAACGAAGCCACAGAATTGACCTTTGACCCGAGTACATTGCTTGTCATACACGTCTCGTTAGGCCCAACTTCATAGTGCCTGTGCCTGCGCCTGCACCTGCATTGGGTATAGATGGGAATGTAGCTTTTCGGCTCCTATCCTACCCTATCCTTCCTACTGCACTCCTGCTTCTCATCAAGCTGAAGAGTGTTGACAATCACTTGAAACGTTTGAGCATGCTTTCACTGGCTGCACAAATCACTTCCGACGTCTGAGGCTGCGCCTGGTGCCTGGTTCAGTAGGACCCCCCATGGTATCGTGAGATCCCTTCACTGGTCCCTTCAGAACGGCCTCAAGAACAGCCCCGACCTGTGCCAGACCAGTGGTTTGGCCCCATCCAACGACGTTAATGTTCAGGGCGGTAAACCACGAGTCCATCGATTTGTTGGGTGTAGTGTTTCCAACTTCCTTTCTTCCACAAGACGAAGAGGCGGGCTTCACTCCCGGCCTTGGCCATGCTGAAGGCGGTGGTGTCCACGGGCGGAACGGTTGACCTGTTGAGCCCATCGACGTATCTGTTCAGCTTTTCTGCCATGTTGACACAGGCTGCTGCCACTCCGAGACCTTGGTTTGTCGTAGCCCAAGCTGCCCGTTGTGTCTCCGGATGTGTCGCCTGTGAAGTCGACCACGAAAAACGGATAGATGAGTCTTAGGTTTTTGGCGGTATAGTCGGTATGGGTCATCCTCATCAATTGTGTTTGCTGGTTGGTTGTAAAGGCATCCCAGGTGTAACCGTAAAGGATGTCCGGCTTCGGTCGACTTAGTCGAAGGCCGATCCTCGGATCGAATAACAGGGGAACATGCTCTTCGTGCATGGTGCATGCTTCATTCACGGCAATTTGACCCTTGAATCTACTTGAGGTCAACGGATTTTCGGCAATGCGTGTTCTAAAGTGATTTTTCACCACGGACTCGGCGCCGTTGACATCGGTAAGCTGCGATGGATTGGCCACATTTCTGATATAGCCCGGCTCTTGAGGCTGACCCTCCTGAAACACTTTACTCGCAATGCTTTAAACATTCTTCGGGGCTGTCTCGTTCATGCCGCGCAAGTGGATGCCATGGCTGGCGAGGTCGAGTTGCCGGTACCCAGAGCTTCCAGCGAGGTGAGACGAGATGGTACTGTTACGAGAAGGTCCCGAAGGCGGATATTATGAGGCAGACTCTGCGGGCATTATCAGACAAATTTTGGCCGATCCTTCCGTGGGTTGGAATAACTGGGAAATCCGAGCCTCGTGACTATCCGACTCGGAATGGTGTTTCTGGTGTTCGTCCAAGGATTAGAACCAAGCATCAACGTACGGAGTGTGACGGTGACGAGGGCTTTTGGGACTGAGAGATGAAGCGAGCTCTGGAGAATGCACTCGCGGCCAAGGGAGGTCTTCCGCCTGCGCTTCCTTCAATGGCGATTTCATGGAAACGAGTCGAACAGGTCTCGAAGGACGAGGCATTTCGATTCAGGCAGTTTGCACGCAGTATGAGTATGCGATGGCATCCCATGAGGCTGGGCCGCAAGCAGAGCAGAGAAACCTTTTTTTATAGGCATATTGACGACGGGCGAATAAGTGAAGTGTGTTTTTGATCTTTATTGATTGAGGCACATGGTCCTTGCAGACGTGTACAGACAGACCTGAGATCAAACATGCTAATTTACACTAAGACGCTAGTCCTATAAAGGACTAGCTCACAGAAGACCTGCACCTGCATCTCCTCATCTGTACAAGTGGGTAAATACATAGGGGCTCTGATTGGTCTCGTGATGATGACGGTGCCTCAACTCTGCAAATATTTATAGTACCGAGTACTTGGAATAAGTGCAGTCTACTCCGTACCCCCTCCGGACAAGGTACTAATCGTAGGTACTTGGGAGGCTGAGAGACTGGAATATTTAGTTGCCTAGATCGTCGCTTCTAGAACATGGGGTAAAATACGTTCTTTCTAGCCCCCTACCAGCGTAACCCGAGGCGTGAGATGAGGCCATCACGGAAGGTCAACTTGACCAAAATAGGTACGAGGGTATTGTAGCTTTCCATTTTGGCAAGTCGGTCAATCATCCTAATCCAACTGGTCTCGCAGATCACCCTCACTCTTCCCTCTTGCCCTTGAATGCCTTGGTCTTTGTCTGTCCTTATGTTTTTGACGACCCTGATATCGTCTCGCTGTACCCATATCTCAAGAGCGAGAGAAGAAGGAAAAATCGGATAGATACAGCATTTCAAAAGGCCCAGCCAAAAACAAAAACAAAAAACAAACATCTTCCCGTTCTAGACAGACAGTGGTGGACCTTGACTGTCCACCGTTCGCCTCGCAAAAACCCGAATCCTCTTTCCGTATGACGCCAGGCTGAAATGGATGTAGTACACACACAGAGTATCGTGGTCATAACTTGCCGCAAGAGACAACCCTGCTCTTTGCGCCCCTAAACTCAGCCGGATCCAAAAGATATCCCTATTCAATGCTTCGAAACTATAGCAGCTCCAACTCTTTTCTCTTTCACTTGCCAAACAATCTTTCGCTGTTCTCCACCATCCACATCACTGCTTCATTCTTCATCTTGGTGTCACTAAGCTCGCGATTTAGACTCTCCGGTCGCATGATGGTTGGTGCGAACACCACCGCGATGTTCATGCTCGTCATGAGATTCTCTTTCTCCTGTTCAACCACCCGTGCAAGGTGCCGAATCAGATACTCCAGGGTCTCAAGATGGACTTTGGGCAAGTCCTCCAAGGCTCGCTGCATGGCGTCGAGTCTGAGCTCCTTACTTTCAATCGTCGTGGTATCGAGAAGTTTGTCGTAGACGTCGAAAGTTATGAGTGGGGTGGGCAGTCGTCGGAAATACTGTTTCAGTCCAGAGGTCACGGCGTGGATGTCGAGATCGGGATCAGAAAGATCAAAGTCCTTTGAAGGGTTCTCGAACCAGTCTTTCACTTGTTGCACCTGTGAGTTACCCCCAGATTTTCGGTAGATGCCTTCAACATCCATACCTGAAAGAATATCAGCGCGGTCAGATCAGATATTTACGGCAGGGCTTACCACGCGACTCCACTTCTTCGACACACCTCTTCACAATCGCAGGAACGGAGGTCTTCTCATATTCGGCCCGGTGTTCGAGTTCGGACCCAAACAGTTCTGCTTTCAATGTTAGCCGGAGTACAACTGAGTAGAGGACAAACTCCTTACGTGCGCCAGCCTCAGCCAGTAAAGATGGTGTGCTCGCATTAGCTTGCGTGGCGTACAGTCCATTGGATTTGGGAGCCACTTTCTGAGTGCTGAAGAACCCAAAGCCACTTTGCTTGACAGGTTCTGGGTTGGCTCTCGGCAGACTAGAGTACTCCTGGGGAGGGCCAGTGGTCGACCCATAGGCCCCTGTCTCCGCAAACTGGAGGTCCCGGCTGTAGTTCTGTTGAGTTGACGAAAAGGCTCCTTTCAAACCTTTCGTGACACCTTTGGCAACCTTCTGTCCTTTTCTCCAATCAAATTTCTTTGGTTGGCCTTTGCGGATGTTCACCATCTGAGGACCTTGCAGGACGGTCACAGGTTCTGCTTCCCCTTGTAAAGTACTGGTCGAATCGATATTGGTCAAGTCGGCGGACATGTTGCGCATTTCCCTCGAGTCGAAGGACACATTCGACTTCTCTTTGTGGTGAGAGTAGATTCCAAGTCCGTTCATGGCCGACTTTGGCTGATCAGTGTCCTTGCCCGAATTGGCCTTGTACAGACCTTGGATCTGGTGGACCAGCTGATTGTTGAGTTCAGCCAACTGGGCATTTTTCGAAGACAGCTGCTCGAACTCCATGAAGCTCTTATCTTTCATCTGAGTTAGATTGGCTATCTCGTCGACCAAATCATTTCGTTTCTGGATTGAGGCTTCGATCTGAGGCGCGAACGAGTCCTTGAGCTTCTCCAGTGCCTCTGCAAAATCGCGAAGCACAACGTTGCTCAACTTTCCAAGGTCGAATCGCTCGCCGCTGTGCTTTGCAGCCGCTAGATGTTCCGTGAGAACTTCCAGCTCTCTTATGACAATCTCTTTTTGTGTATCGAGGACGACTATCGTTGATCTCTTCTCCTTGAGCTCAACATTCACCTGCTTGATATTTGCGGCCGAATCAAGCTGCATTTCCAGTTCAGCAATCCTCTTCTCCCGTTCAATGGTTCTCTGCCGCTCACGTCGTAGCTCATTCTTGAACCAAGCGAGTTCATCACGATTCTCGGGAGACGCTGTGCTGGGGCTGCTGATTTCCTGGCCAATTGACGAGATCGGCATAGCCGGCGATCGAGGCCAGCGGTCCTTGGACAGTCGACCCGTTTTGTCACTGTAACTGCGACCATGGCGAACAGAGTTCGAAACCCTCCTAAGGAAGGACTCATGCGCGCTGGGTTCCTCGCCGGCCATTATCCGGGCCATGTCCTCATCCATAGTGAACTCTCCGCCTGCCGAATACCTGGGCAGACCTGGAGACCTGTAGCCATCTCCAGATCGCTGGTTCTCCGACTGAAGAGTGCTAAAGGACTCATTTCTCGACCTTGAATGATCAAAAGGCGGCAGTGGTGGCGCTCGGGGGTCAACGAAAGATTCATTGCCCGTCTTGCCGGTGTTGTGAAGGTCGTGAATCAGAGAATCGTCTACCGCCGCATCGAAGATACCTTTAGAGTTCGGAGAACCTATGGGGCCAGAGATGACCTTCCCACCATTTGCCTTCGCGAGATCGGCCACCGGTTTGGGAGTAGATGAGCCACTGTTCATGCTGCCACCTGACGGGGTGCCAATGTTTGCCGCGGCGCCCAATTCCTTACGCGGTATGTTTTGAGTGCGCTTCGCGCTGTCTAAAGAGTCCCCTCGTTTAGGCAGGTTCTGTAGGATCGAGGTCGCGGGTAACTGTGCCGGCTTTGGGGAACCGTGTGAACCACTGAATGCTGGACTGGAGTCGTTCGAGAGCATGGGCGTCGAGAAGTCGCCATCTGAGGGTGACCCGATGTCCGCGGCAGTCAAAGGCTTGGTGGCTAGTTGGTCAATGGGATCGGTAGAGATGTCGGCTTTGGGAGTCGACCCCTCTGACCGTGATCCCGTCGAGGCTGAAAACTTCTTGGATTTTGGTGCTTCTTGAAGTTTGAATCTGTCATTGTGTTGTCCTTCGTTGGTGTGGACGATTTGCGACAGCCGTGGTGAACCCTCCGATCTCTTCGACTGCTCTACCGGGATATAGGGTGATGCGTTCGCAGACCCCGAAATGCTCAGATTTCCCCTACGAGTTTGGTCGACAGCTTCTCTCGACGGAAGACGCCCTTTCTCTTGGTAGGCAATATGGGGACTTGAGGTATTGGACTTAGTAACGTGTGACTGGGCACTTGCCGCGTTGGATTTGCTGGTAAAATAATCCGTGGACTTCTCCTCGATAGATCTTTGGGTTGTTTGGTTTGATATGCTGGGCGATTCAGTCGCCGGTTGTGGGGTAGGGTCAAAGGCAAGCGGGATCAAGAATTCTTCTCCCCCACCACCACCTGCTCCACCAGATAAGTCTGATCGTTGCGACATCACAGAATGTCGATTGTTGCGGAAGGTTGTCGATGGCAAAGTGAGCATATCTAGAAATAGATTGGGATCAGCATGCGGCCCGCAAGGCTCAGACGCGGGATGCTTACCGCGTGAATGATTTTGATCTGATGTGGATGGCCTCGAGTCCGAATCGCCTTGCAATTCGCTAACCATCTTACCCACCGAAGGTATGCCTGCTTCGGAGGGCTCTGTGTAGACCTCGGGAAAGGGGGACGAGTGACTTTCCGGAATGTAGGCGGTCTTCCTGGCTTCTGGGGGCGGGATTGCGGGCAAAGACTTGTCCAGCTGGACATTATTTGACAATTTGGAGCGTTGCGAGCTGTTTTTGGTCGTCCTTTTGCGTCTCCGGGCCATCAGAGCCTCGTGACAATCCATGCAGAATATGCCCTGCGACGTCCGGGCATAACGGAGATTTTCGATCTTTCTCTTGCAGTTCCGGCATTTGAAGCAATTGGCGCAAAATGCTTGGTCTCCTGTCAGAATAGCCAGATCCTCAATCTTATTTCCACAATTACTGCAGCTGTAAGTGCAGTTGTTACATATCAAAGATCCATCGCCCAGAAGAAGTAGATTGGCGTCGGAATCGAGGAGGGTGCCGCAGGTATTGCAGGCAAAGCAATCGATGTGCCATCGGTTCCCAGCTTGATGATGTTAGTCACAAGGGTGTCCCCCAGCCAGAAACAAGAACGGGGGTCTGATAATTACCCAGTTCAAATGCTTTGCCCTCCTCTAGGATCTGTATTCTCTCATTAGCTTGTCTGTCTGGGAGATGAAGTTGGAGCACTCTCACCTTTCCACAGCCTTTGCAAGGGTATGCGGCGTCATCTGCCTCCATTGGGGACTCAGGGAAAGCCACAGGAGATTCCATCGCAGTGGCCATTATGTCCTGTGCTATCGGTATGTGCTGGCGATTGTCGACATATGGTGGATTTTATGTCCACGTGAGATTTCGCCGTTTCAAAGTCGATAGAATGGGTGTAATGGCATTAATAATCCCACTTTTTCTTCTTCCCTCTCGTTGCAAACAAAGCTCAAACACGTTCAGATCCTGTACATTGTACGTTTGGCGGGGAATTATTTTATTCTTCTGAGTTATGGGCGAGGTCGTGTGCTGACCTGCAGCTGAAACACTGATCGGGACAAACTTGAAGGACAATCGACGCTCGTGCCGCGGCCAAGTGATGCTGGTATGGTCGCCTTTTTTCCCTCCGTTGGCCAATAAGCCAAAGACCGTAATTGAGGAGTATGAAGAACAAGACAGACAACAATGCCTCGAGTGGAATATTTCTGTGTCGTACAATGGCGAGTGTAGGGAACGAAAGGTAAACCAGTGGCAAGGATCGTAGGGCGGATTCAGCTCGTGCAGAGAAAGGCGGGTTGAGGAGAGTGAGAGACTGGGATGTGGTTGCGCAGACAGCAGCCTTTGGTGACGGGATGGTGTCAAGTCAAACGGTCAACGAAGGATCATGACGGAGGGTCTAGACTTGTTCGCGGCAATTAGAGTGATGGTGTTCAGCGTACAGCCAAGTGTCGAGGACGGGTGACAGAAAGACAGGGAGGCGTGGAAGATGGGTTGCTGCTGGTCAATGGAGGGTGGTGGTTGTGAGAGAGAGGCGTGATGCAAAAGATGGATGCTCTGGGGGAGTTTGCGCAGAGTTCACACTTGGTGTAGGGCCACGAAAGGCTCACGCCTCACTCACACGCACACACGCACCTACGAGGATCGAAGTACGAGGCCCTGAATTGGCCTCTCAGGGTTCAAGCAGGTGATTGGATGTGCTCGAGCACAAGTGTGAAAGTGTGTGCAGGGAGCATTTGGACAGGCGTTAGCGGGCGGATGGTGCACCGTTCAGGAGACTTGAGGGCCCCCCATGGGCCTCCCGTTTAGTTAAAGGTCACTGGGGCTAGTGGGCGACGCGCACCACCCAGTGCCACTGAACCCCCCGAAGTGTCCCGCTAAAGTGACCTTCCAGGCGCAATCGAACGAGTGAGGTTGCGCAAGAGCCTTGAGAGCCCTAGTTGGGTTCAAAGTGCCTCTGTGGCTCTGCTGCAGCTAAAACTCTTGATCCATTCTTGGTCCCGCCTGATCGCATTTGATCGCTTGGATCGACTTGCACCACTGGAGCATTTTTAGCACTTTTAGCACTCGTCCTGCAATGGTCGAAATGACTAGCAGCGTAGCGTCAACGCAAGTCAGAAAATCTGCTGAAGCTTTACTTGCTCAGGGGGGGATTTTTGAGGGGGAGGAGGGAATACAAAGATGCAGTGCGCAATCTCATTGCCTACCCACCACCATAACATACTCGTACGAGGTACATCTGGTACAGGGGAGAGAAATAACAGTTGTAACGGCAATCGAGCTGGAACTGCAGTGGCCTAGCAGGTTGAGAAGAGATACGAGCAGACTCCGTACAGTACGAGGTATACCCCCAAGTTACACAGCCTCCTCGTGGCGTGGATACCAATCTGTAGAACAATCACAAACTCATCTCTATCTAGCTTTACCCCCTCCATGAGAAAAGGTCGGCATCCTATAGTCCCTCATAGTCCCTCACGTTTCGTGTCACAACTCACTACCCTGGCAGATTACTCCAGGCCGCGTGCAGCAAATCTATTGTTTCACTTGGCACAGCCCCTGACTCCAGCTTACGGAGTACATATGTACGAATTGGCCACCTCAGCCTGATCTGTTGATGCCTTAGATAAGTACTCGGTGCTTATGGGGATTAGAATGCGGTTTGGGATGGGGGCCGTCAGAAAGTCCAGTGGCCAAAAAGGCAAAGAGGCAATTTGACAGAAACAATTTAAATTCATCTTCTCTCTATCCATTGCCCTGTCCGATTCCACCTGTGACCAGTCCCAGAAACGCCCAACTTACCAAAGCCCGTGGACATGTCCCCTGGGGTTCTTTCCAAATGCCAGCAACTGCTCGTAAGACGTCGTTGACAGTGACCTTCATGATGTTAATAACGACAATGGTACAAAAACACTGGTTGAAAAAAAAATTGAAAAAGAAAAAAGCCCCGTCCTCCCCAGCCCTTCAACGCCAACAGTGAATGTTAAACCCAACCTCCATACTAACAATAATAATAACAAGGTGTGCGACACCCCTATTCAATAAGGTGATGCAGCAACGTCAACATAATAATGAATCAAGTTCTTGTCCGACTCCTTCTTGAAGTACTTGTAGAATCGAGCTTCAGGTTTGATGACGGCGTGAAGGTTGATGCAAAAGTTCATGACCGCTCTCTTGATGATGGATGTATAGGTGGCGAGGAGGTGTTCGGCGTAGGCGGCGAGACGATCTTCTTGGATCTCGTAGAGGGTTTCATTGCACGAAACAACCCGGAGGAGGAGAGCATTAAGGATCTTCAGTCCAAAGTCCATAACAATAGGGAGCCTATTCGCAAGGCGAGGTCTTTCAGGGCCGAAGTCCGACGCCAGGCTCTGGAGGCTGTTGTACAAAATAGTGTCCGTCGACTTGGGGGTAACAATAGGATCGTTGTCGGTGATGATACACTCGATTTGTTCAAGGGTGTCGAGCACCGCATCGATTGTGGGGAGAACAGTCTGTGTGTGGCTGCACAGAAGAAAGGCGCCGTCGTCGATGGCCGACAGCACGGATGCGTATGAAGAGCTGTGATTGCATCGGGCAATGAGAAGGGCCGACAAGGTCATTCCAGGCTGTGGTTCAGGCCATTGAGGATATTGTTGGAAGAGGTGTACCAGGGTGATGAGGATCGTGTGCGTGTTATAGGCGGGATGGTTGATATTGGTGGCTCGCTTATCTCGAGGTTCGGTGATCATGTCCAGCGACGCCATATTGTGGATGAGTAATTCAAAAAGTTCATTAAACTGTGAGTGCTTGGTGATCAAAGCACCAGGATTCTCCTCAATCAGTTTTCGGAGCCTGCGGTAGCCTAGGGCATCCAAGCTGGACCGTCGAAGTGCCTCCATGGCCATCAGAAGCGTCTTTTTCTCCGAGGCCAGTCGATCTCGTTCGGGAGACCGCTTAGGTGACCTCTTAGGAGATCGCTTCTTGCGTGGACGTATCACCATGGCATTTTCTTTGCCATCGGATTTGATTGTCTCGTAGCTGGACTTGGTGACCGTCTCAAAACTGGATTTGGGCACGGTCTCCGGCACTATGTTGGTGGAGTTGTCTTTCGACACGGAAGACGCCGACGTTGCAGCACGGCCACGAGAATCAGGGCGCTGGACAGTGCTGGCTGAAGGCATTGGGGTAGCAACGATGCGTCTCCTGACGGGTGCTGAGAGAAGACTAGGTTTCTTTTCGGTGTCGTCCATGGTCCCAAAGACTTTGAAGTCGTCGGACTTGATTGGTTCGGGAGTCAAGCCCCGTTGTTGGGACGACTCCTTGGTTTGAGCCATGCGTTCTTTGTTCTGGGCTTTGATCGAGGCAAGTGCCGATTTTGGTCTGGGCGGCGCATTGGCATGCGCAGCAGTGGCAGAGGATTTGTCGGGATTGTGTGGATCAGCTTTCAAAGCCTTTTGAGCATGAGTATTGAGGGTCCCCATGATGGCTCGGGCACCTCGTGGGTCATATGAATGGAAAGTCCAAAAGACGGCGCGGCTATTTTCGCGTACTTTGACTTGTCCATCTGTGAGTCCTGCGGCAATGGCCTTTTCACAAGCAGGACCGTCCTTTTCACGATCCATCTGAGAGCGATAGGTTTCAATGAGGATGCGCAGCCACTCGGGCGCATAAGTGCGGGGAGGAATGCGGTTGTCTTTGAAGGCAGCGCAGACATGGTAGAAGAGGCGGGGGCTGTAACCAGCATGTTTGCAGATGTTCATGATGGCGTCATTGGCGTTTTTCTGATTGACCATCTTGGTCGAGCCGCAAATGGCAATGAGGCCTGGAAGAAGAAGATCGAGTTGAGACTGGATTTGATTCTCGAGGTGTTTGGCAATGTTGGAGAGGGCTCGGCATGCTTGAGCAGACAAGGTGGTACGCTCAGAACCGGCCGTGGAGACAATGTAAGGTAAGACGGCTTTGACCTTTTGGACAAAGTCGTTTGGGATGGTGCTGTTTTCTTTGCGTTTCTCAAAGATGTCCGAGAGTTCAGCTAGGAGATCCTGGCGCTTCTTCCAGCTCTCCTCGGTCTCTGGAAGGGTGAGTTCGTAATGCAGCAAGTTGAGCACATCAGCATAGGTTTTGCCGAGCATCTTGGCTCTAGCGCCTGCAATGGCAAAGTAGACGGCTTTTCCAACAGCAGGGATGGTAGTGTCGACCTTTTTGACGGTCTGATTGAAGGTAGTGGCGGTAGTAGCCTTGACTATACAAAAGGAGGTCAGCACCGAAGAGCGACACAGCCAGCCAAAGATGGTAACACGGTAACAGCATACGGAAATCCAAGTGATTGCGGAAGAACGCCATCTTGTCCTGCTTGCTAGATACCCAATGGTATTCCTCGCACCAGTTTGGCAGGTAGAGGGGTGAGAGGGGTGACGGACGGGGGAGAAGAGTGATATGGAGCAGTGAATAAGGCAGAGAAATGGATCAATGCAGTGCAATTGATTTCAATTGAACAGCTTACGGCAACAGTTGTAATCTCTTGCCAACGGGAATGTGTCTGGGGGAAGTCTTCATACAATCGGCGCAAGGGGGGGGAGCTGGTACATATGAGAGAAAATTTGACACCTACCTGATCAAGGCGAAGCGGGTTGGCGAGGGAATTTGCGATAAAAGGTCTGCGTGCTCATGGATATCGTTCTTGGTTCCAAAGGCTGAGAGAGAAAAAGGTTGTTGAAACAGAATGTCAGGAGGTGAAGCAGGCGACGACGTTGTGGTGGTTGAGGTTCGTGGTTCGTGGTTCGTGTTGATGTTTTGGCTCCAGCGACTCGGAGCGGGAAGTTGAGCGGGTGTTTCTTGGCGCGGGACCCAATCAGAAGCCCGCAACTGCCTCCGCTTGCCTTTGGCTCCCTTTGGCTCCCTTTGGCTTCTTTGTGGTTCACGGACCCTCTGTCATCACTTCCCACGGATTAACCATTGACGACTCTTCCCTTCTGTCTCCATCTCTCAAGCTCTCTAGAAAATATAGACATGGCAGAACTTCCATTGACTGCCCCTCCCTCCCAGGACACGACCGCTCCCACCCTGCCTCCACAGCTACATCACAAACCCGTCCTGCGACTTCACCTCGACGACGTTGGCCACCCGGCTGCCCAGGTGGCTTCCAGTTCCCTGGATGGAGGCCTATATCTGACCAGAGCTATTGAACACGTCGTAACGCACTTGTACAGACCTTACGGGTTGAGCGAAATTCCCAGAGTCAGATCGGTCACGGTAGTCCTACGCGCCATGGGTGGAGTTGCCTACACCACTGGATTGCCACTTGATGACCTCCACAAGGAGATTCACCTGTCGCTCGACTATGTGCACGGCGTCTTATCAAGAAACTCAGCAGGACTACGCCACGAGATTGCCGGAGTCATTACGCATGAGATGGTTCACTGTTTTCAGGGGAACTGCCATGGCACTGCTCCTGGTGGGCTCATTGAGGGCATTGCAGATTTCGTTCGATTGAAGGCCGGCCTCTCGCCTCCGCATTGGAACAAGTCACCCGAGAACAGAGGGCAGAAATGGGACGAGGGCTACCAGAAGACTGCGTGGTTTCTTGATTGGTTAGAGGAATTACGAGGACCCGGCACCGTAAGTCGAATGAACGAGACTATGCGGAGGGTGAGGTATCATGAGCACGAGTTCTGGACCGGCATTTTTGGGGAACCCGTGGATCAGCTCTGGACCCGCTACAAGGCGACGTGGGAGACTGGAGCTCAGGGAAGTTCCCTTTCAATAGCCAGAGTGCAAAGCAGTGACGGTTCAGCAAAAGAGGAGCCTGAGCAAAAAGAGAAGCGGCTGGTGATCCCAGAGCAAAGGAAACCCAAGCAATTTGCCGCTTAGTATTTGTCACTGCGCCATGCGCAATTCTGTAATTCATCAAGTCGGAACTACCTGTGGGCCACCTGTTGTAATTTTCGGAGGTTGAGCGAGCGGATTTCTGATGGGAATGCTGGAATGGAGGCACACTGGAAGACATGACTTAATCAAGTAAAAGATCACCATGGGGATTCGAAGTAAGCATTGAGGCATTGGACGAGGTTGATTTGATGCTAGGAGTTCTGGCATTGGGCACGAGGCTGGATGTGGCGACCGTAACTTGGAGTGGATACCAAACCTTGAATCAAACATCAGCATTGTGTTTCCAATAACAGAGGATAATCAATGGCAGAGAAAATGGGGGTCAGTAAAAAATTAGAGTGTTGTTGCATGATTTTGTTCTTCATGGAGCAAACAAGTTCTCGGGGTTAAAAATGGATCATCACATGGGCCGCATTCGAGGCAGCAGAGAATGGGATCATAGCTTACCCGAAGATGAACATTTGGAGGCAGAGAAGCCCTGGTCGTCCAACCGATTAGTTCCGAAAAGAAACGCCCGACTTGCGCGACATCGTGTTGCAATCATGCTATTGCACCTATCTTGCATGTCTATCGCTCTAGCTGTGGCCGCCTGAAGCTTTTTATTTGGATATGCACGTGCTGAAACCCGCCAATATTCGAGGGGTTTAATCGAACAAACCACCGAAGCCTGGTACGTGTTAGCTTGGACTGTTTGATCTTTGTGCAGGGAATGTTGCGCACCCTCATCGTCAGACTCTTCCTTCTCCTCTTCCTTTTCTTCTTCCTTGGCCGCGGCAGGTGCTGCCTGCTCAGTCGCAGCAGCTGCCACCGGCGCAGCGGCAGCATATGCGTCAGGATTGGCAATGCGATCCTTGAGCTCATGGATTGCGTCCCACTCGTAATCAATCTCAATGGCAACCGCGATAGCTTTCTTGTAGCCATTGATCAAGCTGTGGATGACGGATGGAAGCGTCGGGTAGTTGGCAGCGAGGGAGATGGTGGTAATAGTAGCGATGGCTGATGTAAGAGACTTGAGCAGTTGGCTCTCCTCAATATCCAACACATCAGGCGAGAACGTTTGTCCTTCCTCGTACACTTGCTGAACCTTCATACCATAGGTGAAGGGAGAAATATTCAACATGTTGAGAAGGGTGGCTTCAGAGGCACCGACTTTGGCGCCGGCCTCGACGAGCTTGAGATCGGTGGTGATTTCAATGGTACCACGAGCAATCTTGGTAGGGACACCGAGAGCCTGGAAGAAAGAGGTCTTGCCGGGTTCCATGCCAGTATTCCCAGCTGGGACGTAGACATCTCCGGGAGCAACTGCACCAGCACGAGCAGGAGCTGCGACACGGTTTGAGAGAATCTTGTCACGGATGGTCTTCAGGTCACCATTAGTGAAGATGAATCCAACATTTCCTGCCATCGGTCAGATCAATGGTATTCCTTTCTCTTTTTGGCTTGAAACTTCTAAACGCACCCTTAACGTGAGGCAGCAAACGTTCGTACTCGGGGCTGTCGGTGATGAAACCCTTGAGAGCTCGTCGGACCATGGTATTCTTCCCCATCAAGACCACGGCTTCACCGCGCAGGTTTTGTCGGATCTCGTGCATCTGTTGCGACGAGACATTGTCGACGCTGACCTGTTGAATCTTGTTAGTTGTCTGGCTGATTGGTCTTTTTGAGGGGGACTTGCGATGAAGATGGACTTGTACTCCTCGAGCAAGCCCTTGAGCTTGTCGAAGTAGACAGCTTTAGTGCCGGATTTGCCCCCCATGACTTCTTATGGGATGAAGTTAGGATGTTTAAGGGCAAACTGTTGGAATTGTGACGGGGTGGATTGGTGGTGATGTTTGGTGTACAACTTTTCGGCCAGACCTTGGGAGATTATTTTCGTGAGTGCGATTTGTGTCACGTGTACATATCTTGGCATAAACGGTGAAGCATTATTTCAGGAGAGGCACTATCAAAATTCTACCACACTCCAAGGAAGCAGGTTTCTCATGTGGTTCGAATCTGTTCTGCCTCGCTACTTTGTACGCTGGAGTTCTGCAAACCAGAATCCCAGTGGTGGTGAGTCCTGTAAGGGAGGATTTTCCTCAAGACCCAGATCCAGAAGGCAGTCCGCAGTTGGCTCAGACGCCTGATATATGCATTTAGTGTCCAAATGGTTCTTTACCCATTCCAGAAGCTATGCTGCGTCCAGCCGGTCGACGGTCAACATCCGTTCCTGCTAGCAGCTTCCGGACCAGTCGTCAATTCTCTCAACCTAAAAGATGGAACGTTATTAAGCGAATGGCGGCCGTTCGACGAGGAGGACGAGGAGTACGATGAGGCCAGGACCAACGGCGAGGAAGCTAGGCCACCAAAGAGGCGAAAAATAGGCGACGGACCTCGTGGAGAACCCTCCCACCTGGAATCGGAAGATTCGATTGAAATCATATCGGAGAGAAAGAAGGGTGAGCGACGGAAGCCCAAGGTAGAAAATACTACCCTGCCGAACGTCTCTCATATCATCGCAACCAGTGACGGAAAGACGGCCATCTGCGTCACAGCCGAGGACAAATCAGTCATCGTGTTCGATGTACTGGCGAGAGGCGTCTTGCACTTGAAAAGTCGGAGGTAAGCAAAGCTTCGACAGATGGGCTCGCTTGTGACGCTTAGTCTTACCAGGTCAATGCTAAAGCGCACCTGTGCAATAGCCCTAACGCCAGATGAGAAGAGTCTTCTTGTCGGTGATAAATTCGGCGATGTCTATTTGTTGCCTCTACATCCTACTCCTGGGTGGACGCCACAGAAGCCTGTTTCGGACCAGCAACAGGTGACTTTTTCCCCTTCTGCTTCAGAGTTGACAGTACATACAAAGGGTAACCTGGAAGCACTGAGGCAACAGCGTCAGCAAAAGGCGGCGCAACGCAAGAAGGAGGGTCCCCAGTTCGAATGCAAGTTGCTGCTGGGCCATGTATCACTCCTGACCGACGTCGCTATCACCGAAGTCCAAACCGGCCCCAAGCGTCGCCAATACATTCTGACCTCAGATCGAGATGAGCACATTCGCGTGTCCCGGGGAGTAACACAAGCTCATATCATCGAGAACTATTGCTTCGGCCATCGTGAGTTTGTGAGCAAGCTGTGTATCGTGCCATGGAATCCAGAAATACTGGTGACGGGGAGCGGTGAGCCTTCTCTGAAGGTTTACCATTGGCAGACCGGGAAAATACTCGATCAGGAGCTCTTCCAAGGCGACGTTGGGACAGACATCGTCAACTGCCTCGACTCGGAATCCGGTGCACGTTCGCTAGAAAACTTGGCAGTGTCCAACATTTGGCCCGTGCATTACACCGTCTCGGGCAATTCACCACGTTCACGCCATCCTCCGCACTTACTCCTGGTTGCACTTGAAGGGTAAGTAATACAGTCGAGAAATTTTGGGCCAGCGCTAAATGAGGTTTCTAGGCTCCCGATGCTGCTGAGCTATAGCATCAACCAAGACGGTCACTTGAAGCACCATCAGACCCTGACGTTAGGAGGGAACGTATTGGACGTGACCGTCGGTCCGGCGATGTGGGCAATTGTTGTCAGTATTGATACAATACATAAACCCGGTTCCATCCAGGTCTTGAGACCCGAGGAGACTCCAGCAGCAGAGGCCTTTGAGACATTTGAACTGTTTTCGAACCTGCCTATTGACGACATCAGCACAAACAACAACTTACTTGGGGACTTCAATGGGTCTGAGGCGGAACTGAGATGGGAGACATCAAGCCTGGCGATGCTTTTGAATTCGTCAGCCCGGGACTGCGGTAGGGGTACGCTACCGTCAGACGGTCGAGCAAAGGACAAGGGGGCATATAGCGCTGCTGGAGAGATGCTGTATGGCCTTGAGAATCTCCGTAAGAAAAGGGGCCAAGCTGAGGCGGATGCTGAGGAGGAAGCCGGAGGAGGTGCTGAAGGTGTTCCCGCCGATGCAGAAGGGATGTCGTGATCAGTGATGACTTACATAGCCATCAATGGCCTCTGTCTTCTTCTGAGGGTACTGAAGACTGCCTCGGGGGGATATGATGCCTAAATACTACAGCTTATCCAGTGCCTAGCTAGGTACAAAAGTAGGAAGGTCATTTGGTGCTCATTAGGGAAAATGCAGCCTTGCCGTATCATGTAGACGCGGGGCATGGCAGATCCTGCAAGGCTGCTTGGGCAAAAGACCTCAATGAGATTGTGGAGTCGATTTTGACCCAAAAAATATCACCTCTGGCGCCACCCCCCATCTGCGCCCCTCCAAGCATCATCATTGACAAAGGACCCAATGACATTTTTTCCAAGTTCCAAAGTCAGAGGGGTCCTGTACAAGGCAGTTTAGACTTGACCCGGCCTCCCTCCCTCCCTCTCTCTGTCTCTCTCTTTCGAAATCTTTGTCCCGGAGTTCAGTTTTGTCCGTCGGAAGGGGAAAAAAACATGGGGAAGACTTGGCCGCCTCTGAAGAATGACCGACTCCTGCGGGCCGCACGAGGTGCGTTTGTATACCGAATCACACAAGGGCGTTCGAAAACGTCTGCAAAGCAAAGCACCTGAAAAGGTTATGCAAATCGCCCACCGACTAAAATAGATGTACAGGCGAAAAAGTTGACAGGCCACCGATATGGGTGATGCGACAAGGTACGACCACACTACCGCTGTTGTTGTTGTTGCTGCTACTATTCCTCCCTCCCATGGTGGCATTGAAGTGTCGCTCTCTAGACCAAATCATCTTTCCCCTGTTCCCTTTTCCCTTACTCCCTCATCTCGCTGCTAACATTTCCCCCGCGCACCGCGGTTTCAAAAACCAAAAACAGCTGGCCGCTATCTTCCCGAGTACCACCAGGCCAAGGGCAAACGCGACTTCTTCGAATGCTGCCGGTCCCCTGAGATCGCCTCGACCCTGACTCTCCAACCGATCGACCGGTACGACGGCCTCATCGACGGGGCCATCATCTTCTCCGACATCCTCGTTATCCCGCAGGCCATGGGCATGGAGGTGCTGATGGTCGACGGTATCGGGCCCCGGTTCCCCAACCCGCTCCGCAGCCCCTCGGACGCACAGTACCAGGAGATTGTGAAGAGGGAGGTGGACGTCAAGAAGGAGCTGGACTACGTGTACAAGGCCATCACATTGACGCGGGAGAAGTTGGGCGGACGGGTGCCCTTGTTTGGGTTCTGCGGCGCGCCCTGGACGCTCCTGTGCTACATGGTGGAAGGAGGCGGCACGAAAATGTTCAAGGAAGCAAAGACGTGGGTCTACAAGTATCCCGAAGAGAGCAAGGTTCTCCTGCGAAAGATGGCTGCCATCTGTGTCGAGTATCTCGCGTTACAGGTGGCCGCAGGAGCACAGATTGTGCAAGTTTTCGACTCCTGGGCGGGGGAACTCTCGCCAGTCTCATTCAAGGAGATCGCTCTGCCGTCGCTAAGCTATATTGCAGAGCAGCTACCCAAGCGGTTACAGGAGATGGGCGAAGATGTGGTCCCCATGGTGGTCTTTGCAAAGGGCGCATGGTACGCTCTCGACGACCTGTGCGACTTGGGCTATGATGTTGTGGGTCTGGATTGGTTGCATGACCCCAAGGAGGCCGTGAAGATCGCGAGAGGGAGGGTGACATTACAGGGAAACGCGGACCCGGGCGTGCTCTACGGAGGCCGTGAAGCCATCACGGAAGTGGTCGAGAACATGGTCGAGGGTTTCGGAGGAGGAAAGGAACGATGGATCGCCAACCTGGGACACGGTGTGACTCCGGGCGTCAATCCCGACGATCTCAAGTTCTTCTTTGAAGAGATCCACAGGTGTACTGCATAAAGAGCCGCAAAGAGGGGGAAGAGGCAGTACAGATGCCGACTTGAGATGAGTGTCTGCATGCATATAGGATTTTATTGCTGTGTAATTATTGCTCCCCAATATCCTCGTTCCTAGAATGGGGTAATCAGCAATAAGATCCGAAAAGAAACACCCCCAGAAGGAAGAGTATTAGACGAAAAGAAAGTCTTCTTGACGAAGAAAAAACCCCCACACCCCTCCCAGACAGAAGAAAAGAGATGATCGGAAAAATGACCGTACCAGACATTCGGCTTCTCCTCGATAAACCTCCTCATCAGCTCCATGCACTCGCGGTTCTCGAGCACGACGACCTCGACGCCCCGCGCCTTGAGGTAGTCCTCGCCGCCGACGAAGGTCTTGTTCTCGCCCACGACGACCCGCGCGACCTTGTAGAGGATGCAGGCCCCCGTGCACATGTCGCAGGGCGACAGGGTCGTGTACATTGTCGAGCCGGCGTAGGCCGAGGCGGGCAGACGACCCGAGTTTTCGAGCGCGGAGATTTCGCCCTGCGGGTCGGACGGTATTGGTTTGAGATTCCATACGTGTATGTAGGCTGGAAAGGGGAGTGGGAGGGGAGGAGAGGGCAATTGGGTGGGTAGGAGGGTAGGTAATAAGCATAGGTCACTCTCGCCTCGCAGTAGAGGTCGAGATGTGAGGAGTGGTAGACAAAGGTGCGAGGTTGTGTATCTTGCGTGGGTACCCAGGAATGTGCTGTAGCAAGGGGTGCTGGGAGGTAGGTAGCCTGTGTAGGATGTTATGTACTTACATGTAACGTGGCACTCCCCTTCTGAACGCGCATGTTGTGACCGCGACCGAGAATCTTCCCGTCCTTTGAGACGAGGCAGGCTCCTGTTTTTTCCTCGAACAAAATTCGACGTTTAATTCTGACCTTCTTACTCTCTCTCATCACATGGCATTCCCCTCCTCATCCTCGTCCCTCCTCAAACGTCTTCTCCCATTGAAATTCAAGGAGGGGAGAGGGGAGAGGGGATTGGATGCTCCCATACCTATCGGCACGCCTCCCTCCGCAAAACCCTGTCGAGCCTCTTCCACGGCGGCGAGGAAGCCGACGTCTGTTTCTGACATTGTTTGGTCGGTCGGTTGGGAGTTGGAAAAAGGGCTAGGGTGTTGTGAAAGAGAGAGAGACACACACGCACACACAAAGATGCTAGACACCAGAGAAAGAGAAGGAACAAGAAAAAAAGCGCAGGATGACACAAAGAAGACGAGGCGGATCGGTTGGGGTCAGGTTAACGCAAGGGATTATAATTCTCGATATCGATCTACGTACATCTCTCCATATAGAAATGACAAGAGGGAGAATATTGTGTGTCTGTCTGTACCTCGTAGCTGGTGGAGTAGAAGATCTTCGAGAGCTCAGAAGTCCGCTTGATATCAGCCCCCATCTCGCGCTACTCCGATCGGGAACACAGCGAGATAGATACCCACCTACATGGAGGTATATAAATTATGTACTCGGAACAGTCATGTCTAAAAATGGTCCCGATGAGTGCTTCTCGAGTGAGGCGAGTATTCTCAACACCCACACACCTTCTCAGGAGGACAAAACCGTCTATCTGTATCGAGAGAGCCTCGCGGCGAAAAAAATGGTGGCAAGTCGAGCGTTGTGTTCAATAAAATTATTATTTCAAAAAGAGCTGACAGAGGCCTCTCCCTATCTATCCTTGCCGCACTTTGGACCAGGATCGACGGCTCGCTGGCCCATCGACAGAGGTTGAGGCTCCGCTTGACTGTCAAGATATGGACGGGGCGAGCATCGCTCTCTCTAGCTAGGTATGAAACAGACAAAGCCGTTGACGCCGCTCCCTCATGCACTCCATGCCCATATCCATGTCCATGCCATGCTCATCGTGTACACTTGGGGGTATCAATTCATACTCAATCATGAAATCGTTCTCCGTGGCTGCGCTCTCACAGCAGGAGCAAAAGCTGCTATCCACCCTTTCGCTGTGCCCACAAGGCCTTCATAGCTTTCTCCACTGCCTCGGCTTTCTCCACCATCGCATACAGGTCATCGGTCTGCAAGGTCATGGTCACGGATCCAGGAATTGTATTGCTGGTCAATTCGTCACCAAGAGCAAAGTCTTCGAGGAAGAGAGATAGTCCGATGCGATCGTGGGGATTCTTGATGCCGTCGATGCTTCGAACTTCCTAATTGACACAGTCAGTAATAGCATATGGCAGGTGGGATCTTATCATCTCACCACGCTATCGTCGCAGGCGACGCCCTCGAACTTCCCGTTTTCACCAAATTTGGCCCTCCACACCGAGATGCGCACCCCCGCTCCCATCCGATCATCGACGTCGAGGCCAATGACAGTTCGAATCTGACCGTCAGTTGACTCGACATACTCTCGTGCGAGGTTATCCAGAGCTTGTGTGGTCTGCGAGACTGCGACTTCGCCAATCATGACTGGGTATTGAATGGTGTTTTGGTTTATGACAGTCAGGTCTGGACGTCGCTCAATCCCGCCCTTACCATTCCTGGAAGGATACTTGACTTGGGCGGAACCGGTTTGCATGAGAGATGAAGCGAATGCGGCAATAGCTGGTTCCGGGTGCTCCATTGTCTTATTGATGAAAGATCCCAGACGCAGCTTGAGATAATCAGCAAGGGTTTCGTGTCTATGGCCAGCCATTCTGAACGTCAGTGTTTCGTGGTCGCTGGAATAGTCGTATCTGGGTCAACAAGTTAGTTATGGGTCGGGGTCAGGACATGTCACTGCCTTGCGGGTTCAAACGTACTTCACCTTCGCTTCAACAAACTCGTCATTTTGCATCAACTCTTGGAATTGTCGGTACTGCTCTGAAGGTAGGAAGAACTCGATTCCGTCGGCCACGTCCAAGCGGCATTGTTGCGTTCGGAGCCAGAGCAAGATTCCCTGCAGCTCAGGCTTGTAGGTCTCTTCTGGCTGTGCACAGACTGAATGCTCCATCACCACTCTTGCGACGTGTCTATATTGACGTGCAGCGACAGGAGGGCTGTCGTGGCGCAAGTCTTGTGACTCCTGGGTTTTCAAGGATTCCATCATTACAGTTTAACCTTGATGATCAATTTGTTGACGCGCTGATGAAAGACGTTATTCAGTGCTTGAAGATGAGTGTCAAGTCGCGCACGCTCACAAAAATATAGGTAATTCGGGTAAACATCGGATAAACATCGGACATTCCGCATCCTACTCTTCATTCCCCTTTCGCTGCCTGTGCATACTATTATGTGCCTCCTATGCAAGATGACTGACAGCTATATATACGAGGTAGACGAGAAGTAAGGTCCGGCAGCAAAGCCGTCAATTGCTACAGAGCGGATTCATCCCCAGCATTACAACACAAACTCAGACGTAAGCAATGTTCATTCATGTGGGTATTATCTATCTATCCTGGCATAAGACATATCTTGTCTTGTTCGCCTGGACGCCTGTTCTCCAGCCTCGCAAACCACTATCCGCTAAACAGCAGTCGGACCTCTCTGTTAGTGGAAGTCTTCGACAATTTGTTCCAGAAATGAACAAACGCACCAGCTTGGAAAAGTAAAAGCATAAAATGATCAAGTCCGGGCACAATGTCCTCAGCTGACGACGATACTGTACTTCATCGTAAAGTGCATGTTCCAAGGGCCGCGATGGGACCCGATTTGCAAACATTCATCTCATGGAAGGTACCGTGGACATGATGGGAGATACGAAAGATTGATAATCTAAAAAGCAAGGTCCGAGCCAGGTCCTAGCTTTGACGGACCAGCGGGAGAGTTGCGCTTGTCTCTGACGTTGCTGGCAGAGTTGCTCCTTGGTCGATTTGCTGCAGCCATTGGTGGCGGGCCACCCCGAACACCGTATGGTCCAGGAGACATGCTGCGACCCGGCGGTCCCATCCTAGGGCCCGGAGACATCGATCTCGGTCCCTGATTGAAGCCTGGGCTCATCGGTCGCCGCATTCCGGCTGGACTCATTCTTCCGCTGGGGCTCATGGGCCTTCCCATTGGACTCATTGATCTTCCTGCTGAACTCATTGGTCTCCCCGCAGGACTCATCGGGCGTTGAGGACCCATCGGAGTTCTGGGGCCACCAGCGGGAGACATAGGGCGGGACATCGGTCCTCCAGGTGGTGGTGGTCGGGCATATTGGTTCAGATGGGATGGCTTGGGCTTGGACGGCTTGGCAGCGAGGCATGTTCGAGGAACCACACCTTGTTGAGATCGATCAAGTCGAATGCAAAGCGCCTGGGAGTACATTAGTTGAGCCATCAGATACCATACGAGTATTGTCACTTACCCATCCATCGTCATACTCGTGCAGTAAACGAACCAGCTGGCCGTTCTTCAACTCAAGTTCGTCATCCATGGAAGGCGCGAAATCCATAAGAACTCGGTAAACATTGCCTTGAGACGATTCGGATGCAGAACCGGCCGCGGAGGATGGAGCTGGAGATGCGGGCGCCGAAGAAGCTGGGGAAGCAGGCTGCTTCGGCGTGGATACGGCAACAGGGACAGGGATAGGAGCAGGAGCGGGAGCTGTGGTCGAAGCAGATACAGGGACTGGAACAGAAACAGGTTCCGCACTTGGGGCCGGTGTCGGTATTGGTGCTGATGCAGCAGACGTCATAGGAGCTGTGATCGGCTTCGGAGCAGGAATGGTAGCTGATCCTTCAGGAGGAACCGGGGCTGCCTTGGTCTCGTTGATCGGAGCGGCAGTAGCAGCAGCAGCAGCGCCAGTGACGGCAATGATGGGAACGACAGGAGCTGATTTCGCGGCGGATGTTGCATTAGTGACCGGACCAGAGGCTTCCATGGATTTCTCAGGGTCTGCAAAAGGATTCTGTGGATCAGCAAAAGGGTTGTTCGGATGGTCATCCTGTGAAGGGCGAGTTGGACTTGGACCTCGGAGGCGGGTTGGGCTTGGACCGCGAGGTTGAGGCGAGGGACTCAAATTGCGAGCAGGGCCGGTAGCAGGGGCAGAACCAGATTCTCCGATGGTGTTGAGTAAATTGCCAGCGCTGAGTCTGCTCTTAGAAGACGATCCCATGAACTCGGGCAGCATTCGAGAAACAGGTCTGAGGCTTATTCGTGGAGCAGTTGAGCTGATGGGCGGACTCCTGAGCGCCATCTCAGTGCTGCTGATTCCAGCACTAGGATTGGGTTTCTCATTGTCTGCAGCAGCTTGCGCTTCGCGCTCACGCCTCTTCTTCCCAAGCAGCCACAGCAAAAAGACAGCGATGAGACCAACGATGGCGATCACCGCGATGGCGATACCCGCTTTCGCACCAGTCGACAGGCCGGAACTGGAGGTGGACGAAGACTCGGGGGTTCCAGTAACCGCAGCAACTGCGCCGCTGTCTGTGTTCGTCACAGACGCCAAGCCAGTTGGAGAGCCGTTGTCTCTTGTTGTTGGTGCAACCAAGGGAGTAGCAGTGGTCGGCGCAAGAC